TAAACTATAAGTATATATATATAAACTATAAAGTATATAATATAAAGTATTAATGTATATAATATAAAGTATATAAGTATATAAACTATATAGTATAAAAGTATATACACATATAAAGTATAAGTATATAAACTATATAATATAAAAGTATATATACATATAAAGTATAAGTATATATATATATATAAAGTTTTAGTATATAATGTAAAGTATTAAATTATATAATATAAAATATATAAGTATATATATATATATATATAAGTTATAAGTATTAAATTATTAAAGTATATACTACAAAGTATAAGTTATAATATATATATATATATTAAAGTATATACTATAAAGTATTAAACTATATAATATAAGTATTAAATATAAAATATTAAAGTATATCATATAAAGTATTAAAGTATATAAATATAAATATAAATATATAATATAAAGTATTAAACTATATAATATAAATATACAATATAAAGTATTAAAGTATATAAATATAGAATTATATATATCAAATTATAAAATTCGTAGGATCAAATTAAAATAAAATAAAATTTTAAAGCTTAAATTAATACATTATATAGTTATACATATTAAGCCTTGATGTCCTTAATGGTTCACTTAGATTGATGACATGACATAATAGGAACCATTGAATTAAGAGATTTGCCTATACATTTAGGTGGTGTTTGTTTTTGCAGAGGTAAAAGGTATGCAGTCTGCGGACCATATCTGCAGGCATCTGCAGCATAAGAGGTGGACCAAAAGTCTGCAGTCTGCAAGAAGAAGATTGTTTGTTTTTTAACGTATGCAGACTGCTAAAATAAACTGAAATATAAATAAACTGATTTTTTAAACTTAAAAGAGTTTTGCAATGCTGAGATTTAAATAATTTTAGTTTTACAATAATGAAATTTAAATAATTCATACAACTACAATAATAATTTTTTTAGAAAAACAAACATCACCTTATTAATTCTATTATAAGTCTCACATAATCACATGCATTATTAGTTTTATAAGTTTTATAGAATAAAATTTATAAATGATCATTAAATTATATGATTTTTTAAATATGCAATTATGTAATACTTTTAATTTTTTTAAATATATATTCATATTTTTTTTATAATTATATGATATTTTTAGAAAATATTTTTAAATTTATCAAATTATTTTATGATTATTTTTTATTTAATGGTGATTATATTTTAAAATTTTAAAAACATAATTTATAATTTTTTATATTTTAAAATCTTAATTATCAAATAATGAAATCATTTTTTATTAAGCAATGTGGTTTAAATACTTACATTTTGTATAAAAAGTTTAAATATAATTTAAAAATAAAAAATCCAAAAAAATATTATATTTAAACTTAAATCAAAATAATTAAAATAAATATAAAATTTTAATAATATATAAAATAATTTATATGATATAAAATTAAATATCTATAATATAATATTAAAAAATTAATATTTAATTTATTTAAAAAATTAATATTAAAATTAATATCTATAATATAATATTAAAAATTAATATTTAATTTATTTAAAAATTAATATTTAATTTATTTAAAAATTAATATTAAAATTAAAATCAAATATAATATAAAATGAAATATAAAATCTCTTTGAAGAGGTTAGAAGACGTCTGCAGACATAAGACCACGTCTGCGTCGCGCAGACCACGCGCAGACGTTAGAAGAGCTTATGTCTTCTAAAAAACAAACGGTCTACGAAGTCCAATGTCTGCGCGGCGCAGACATAAGAGCTTTACATATCTTACACAGTAAAATAAATACCACCTTAGCCATTCTAAAAAGTTGTATCACATTAAATGTTTTGTCCCCTTTCAAATTTCAAAGCAAAACCCCTTCCCATACATCTTTTCAAAACTGACGGCTAGGAGTAGTTTTTAGGGTTTTTCCTTTTTTTTTTGTATTTTATTATTCTTTAATTATTTATTTATAATGCACATATTAGTAATACATGTGAGTTTGTATATTAGGCCAGTGTAAAACAAATATAATGGACTTACACTAATGCAAATTGACCTATTTTTTTAGTTTTGTTATTTATTTATTTAACAAAATAAATGGGTTTGTACCACTAACTTATTATGCAACTATTATTTAAAAACTATATAATATATACAAACTATATAACATGCAATGTAAAACACACTAGTTATTTAACGGCAAAACTTTCGAGATAATGTTCTGGAAAAAATTAATTCACGAGATAAAGCACTCCCAAGATTAATTGCTCAAATAAGGTGAAATCCACAGTGTTGGCCGTAGGTCGTCATGCCTTCCGGGCGACCTACTAGGTCGCCATGTCTTCCCGGCGAGCTACAAGAGATTGCATGTGCCATGCACGTCCCAACACGCTAGGCATTCGAGGCCATCCGAACGAGCTATGCGAGGGCAACCGAGCAAGCTATGCGAGGGAATCCGAGGGAAGCCGAGCGAGGGTAGGTCGCCCGGAGTGCATGGCGACCTACAAGGTCGCCCGGAGGGCATGGCGACCTACAAGGTCGCCCGGAGGGCATGGCGACCTATGTGTTGGGACGTGCATGTGCCATGCAACCTCTCTGTTTGAGCAAGGGTAGGTCGCCCGGAGTGTATGGCGACCTACGGCCAACACTGTGGATTTCACCCTATTTGAGCAATTAATCTTGGGAGTGCCTTAGCTCGTGAATTAATTTCTTTCAGAATATTATCTCGAAAGTTTTGCCGTTATTTAACTATCTAACATGAAATGCAACATGAAATGCAATTCAGCATGAATTAATATGGAATGTCACATGGAATGCCACATGAATTAATATGCATCTATTGTTATCTAATATCTAACACATGTAATTATTTAATATGCAATGCAACTAATACTATAATATCTAATATATGCAACTATACTAATATGTAACCTACCTTATGCAAAAAATGGAACCATATGATGAAATACATTTAACATCCAAACTATATTATATGTACTAACTATATATCATATACTATATATTACAAACAACCACGTGTCACCACCCGATAAAATGGGTGATGAAATTATCAATATGAATTAATCTTTTATATTATGTTTTATATATGTTATAATTGGTAGATAAATTTTCTTTACATAAATTAAACTATATAATTTACATTTAAAATAATTTTATTGATCATGTTTAATGCCAATAATTTATTCTAACTTGTAATCATTATAATTAATTTAATTAATAATGTTCAATACATAAATTATTTAATAAAATAAAATTAATTATTATATTGAGGATTTATAACATAAGAATGATAATATAATTATTATAATTAATATTTTATTATAACATTTAAAAATTAATCATATTAATTGTATGATTTATTATAAAATTAAAATCTCACAATTTTATTAAAATCTTATAATTTCATCAATGATAATATAAGTCAGGTAAATGTCAAGTTAGGTAAATGTCATATCTGGTCAATAACAAGTCAGATCATTTACAGGTCATGTTGAAAACAAGTCGGGTAATACCAGGTATTTACCAGGTCAATATTGGGTTCATGTTCATATCAGTCGGATGCAGTTCGGGTTTGGGTATCATATTTTCAGTTCAATTCGGGTTCATGTCGTTCTCAAGTAGAGTGCAGATCCACAATTTTCAGGTCCAACTCGGATACAGGTCAACACCAGTTCCAACTCGAGTCAGTTTCGGGTCGTCACAACACATGTCAAAAACAGTTTCGACTCGAGTCAGTTTCAGCCGGTTTTGCAGGTCGGGCCAGCTTTTTACACCTCTAGAGCGAGCTACGAAGTGGATATGTTAGCTGGACCCACATATAATTTTTAATTTTAATTTTACTTTTTTTAAAGAAAAATTATTTCATGGTTCCGATTCATGGTCCTAATAAATGATAAATTTTAAAATAATTTCTAAATAACCTCCCACTATTTATATGTAGAACTAAGATAATGATTCACTTTGTGAAAAAATGAGATAAAAAATTATTATTAGTTAGGACCACAGATGAGGTTGTGAGTTAATACTATCTAATAATTTTTCCTTTTTTTAGACATATACACGTACAATTATATCCATTTATAAGAATAAATTATATAATAAGATGATAGGGACACATTTAAGATGAAATATTAGGAGTAGATATTTATTAAGCAAGTTATTAACTTCGAGTTATTTTTATGTAAAAAAATTTTGTTGGGAGATTCATCTACCAAAGTTAGGTGTGCGATGCGGGTCGGCCGGATTAGTCAAAATTTGCCTTTGAACCGAAAGGGTAACAAAAAAATAGATGATTAAAAGTTTTCAGTTGATATATTCTCTCTCGTTAAGTTGTGGGTTCAATATTCATTGGGAACAAAAATTCTCTTTTTCCTTGAGTCATTGGACTAAAGGAAGTGTTGATCTTTATCGAGTTTTTGGTTTCGAGCAACTGCATTAAGTTATGGTTGTGATCGCATTTCGGGCTTGTTGTATTTATTGAAATTGTAGATATAGAAGATATTATTATAGTCAATGCGGGTATTGCGATAATACAATAATGATTTCGGACAGTATCACTATCATTATATAATAATTGCCATTTCGACAGTGGTCTTCTATTTAAATCCCTGATCTACGCATTCAAACATGTATACCATACATAGAGATGATCACGGGTTGGATTAATTTGGGTTTTTTTTATCTACTCTGATCTAAAAAATCATATACCCAACCCAATCTAACTCAAAGAGCATATTTCTTTTACTCGAACTTGTCAACCCAAATTTTCATACTATAAATCTAATTTGATCCAATCCGATTAGACTCGACATAAAATAAAGACCTAATTAAAAAAAACATAGAGACGAGGTATTATAGCAATTTCGATCTTCAAGGTTATTCAGCCTGTTACTATAATGTCGTATTAGGTTTGAATTTGTTATTACACTCGAATCAAGCCATATGATCTCAGAAGGTAGTATCACATAAACGAAAGCTGACAGTCAGAAATAACTTGTTTTTGTCACTGTCTCAATCAATTATTACAAGAACAAAGGAATGTGCCAATGAGAGATTTGCTTCCCAGGAAGTTCAAATGTATTACAGAAGGCAATATACCTTCACTAGAAACCGGTGGTTTTCATGTTCATATCCTAAACCAAGAAAACATTTGCACATGACTCCGTAAACACCGTTGTCTCGACGTGCTTCTACCGACTGATTTCATGTGTCTACTTCTGCATATCATGCACGAGTGTATATATATATATAGTTATATACACACGCATATGACATATCTACAGAGATTTTATCTGCAATAATTTGCGACTATGCCAAGCTTTTACCTAAAGGTGTGCTGTGTATTTGTACAACTTCACCCTCAAAAAATCGAAACAAACGGTTGTGAACTCAAATCCTGTTTAATTCATGCACTTGTGATGTGTTCCATTAGCTGCAAATGACTTCTACAGAGAGTTTCTTCATGATATTAGGACATGGATCTCCTCCGAACATTTCGGGTGCTACTGTCACTGAGCAGAAGTTTTGCCCGACGCAGAGCTGCAAGGATGAAGTGATGTAAGTCGATATGTACCAAGCAATGAAACAAAGAGCTCTTAAAAGAACACTAAACTGCAGAGGCAGAGTTTGCTACTGATATCATCTTCGGAAATCGTATATCCGAAGGATTGAACATAAACATACCCTATTAAAAGCATCATAAGAATGGAGAGTGTGACAGCTTCCTTGACTGTAGCTTCCACATTCCCCTTCCGGAGTTCCGAAGCTGGCGAACTTTACGGCTGAGATTTTCTGTCCCGCGTCGCACTCTAAATGAACTTTTGGCCTTAAGGCTTTGTCAACTTTACCGGAGGCTTGCATCTGATAATTCATTAGGGTTGGTTGCCACTCATGGATATCAGCACAAACACTGTTGGTTTCCCTCGAAACCAAAGAGATCCCGTTTGGGTCCCCGCCCCATTCTTCAAACACAACCAACAAGTTGCCTGTAGGGTTGAGCCATGAACGAGGAACATGATACCTAAACGTTATAGTATAAGACCACAAGTCAGTTTATCGACGATTCCTCGCTTTTAAAGAGCAACTTTAAGCAGATTAGTCAGTTTCCTTACCATCTTTGAGAAGCCTCTCCACAATTAGTTCTACATTTGTTCTCATCGTAATATCCGGCATAATTACAGACGCTGCAATTTCCAGTTGCTTTATACGCTGGCCAGTGGCGTCCAATACTCTGTCCGTTTATCCAAATCTGACCTTTTCCCATACTTCTCATATCTAAAGCCAACGGAGCATTTCCAGCTGGAGCATTGAAAGTTGTCTGCAAAATCAAAGAATGTCAACAGACACGAACTGACACCGGCATTCACATGTTTGGTTGTATTTTGAGATACTTACTTTGTACCATGTCAGTGGCTGCCTTTGTGCCACTAACGACGCTTGTGTCCACTCCACGGTCGAACTACCACTTAGCGAATGAAGATTCAATGCTTCTCCCTTGAGGCCAACCTGCAAGGGAAAAATTACCAAATAACTCTCTAGCAGTCTAGCACACCTCGACAACTCGAGAATAAATACGAAGCAAATAAAAGACCTTGTAAGTCCATTTTTGCCATGAGAGATCTTTCCTCCCTTCATTGAGACCGTTCAATGTAACTGGACCAAGCACACCAGCATTCCATGTCTCGAAATGTGGACCCACGTTCTGCATTCAAACCAAAAAATCAATGGTTTATACATAAATTCCACTGTCACAAAGCTGGAAACAAAGATAGAGAGCGCATACCGGGAGGCCAACAGCAATACTTAGAAGTGAAATTTTATTGATACCAGCTCTCAAATTAACACCTTGGCTGAGTGTTAGTTTCGGGAATTCGAGACTTCCATAAGAACTTCCTGGCGAAATCAACCAGAGTCGAAAGCCAAGAATTTAACATTATATTTCCAGTTATCATCTGAAGTGGTTCAAAAGCACATTAGAACGAACAATGAGCTGACCTGACAGTCGACCGTTGACGAAAACATGCAGAGCATGGCCAGCTGATAAGACAGTAAGAACCGGAGATTTTCCGTTCTTGAAGAATTCTTCACTGGGGTCAATCTCAATGCTGGTGATGGAAAGTACGTATGAAGCATTAGAAACTCGATTGCGGATAACGGAAAGAAATTCGATAGAAGATAGATTTGTTCATAAATAAAAGAATTATTGCTTTGCAAAAACTTAGTTGAATAAAGAAAGAAGAGATTTCTCTTCACTACTTACTCAGTTGTATACCACAAATAGTCGGTCAAGTCTCGGGTTGTATTTATCTGCTCCAACAGCCCAACCATGGTGAACGAACTGTCAACATCAGAAGCTGACTCTTCAGTATATGCTTGCCAAGAGAACCCTCCATGCATCGGAACGGGAACCATTTTCTTCTGTGCAATTTGGGCACCAACCTGTATGAAAAGTTTCTTATCAATGTCAAAATTGTACTTATCTTGCACGATTGACAGAAGAAGAAAAATCTTTCTTACCCTCGCAGTGTTATACACGGTATGCTTGCAGTCGGGAAGAATGCTGACAGACCAAGGCGGCAGGTTATAGTGCATGTCCCTAAAGGCAACTTTTACAAATGAATTTGGGTCATAATTTGCAAGGAAGGCGGCACAACCTCCGGATGTATATTTGAACACATGAGCCTGTATGTTTAGAATGGAATTTATATTTAAGTCTTGCATACACAACAATCGAAAGTAGGATCGAGGTTCTTAGAAATAAGTCATAATAACCTCCTGACGAGTTCCAAGTTGCATCAGTGTGGGATCTCCAGATACTAAAGCTGGCTCACAGAGCTTTATTGCTCTATGCAAATCTTTCAAATGGCCCCACTTGGGTTGCCTCAAAAGTCCTGCAAGACAAGAACCGGTTCTCCTTCAATTCGACCTGAAGGGCCTAATCCCTAAACTATACTTTCACACTCGATATGAATGCTAAAAGGCATAGAATGTACAGTTCAAAGCAAGTAGACAAAATAAATTAGAAGATGCATAGCAAACTTGGAAAACAATGCACAATTGATACTTTGAACGTACCGTATTCATCAAGAGGAGCATCGTAATCATAGCTTGTAGCAATGAAAGGACCCCCAGCAGTTCGGCCAAAATTTGTTCCTCCATGATACTTGTGACACGAAAGACAAGCATATGAAGCACATTCATCCAGTGGTTGAACTTGGTAAATTGAAAGGAAAAAAGAACATAAAAATTAATTCGATTACCATATAGTAATTAATGAAAGACCCTCCTTTTTGTATAAACCTTGCAACTGAAAATGCCATGTCTTCAGCAGGTCTATAAGGGACTGCCCCTCCAAACTCGGTATACCTACACCATAAAAAATAAAAGAATCGAATTTCATCAGGAGACGCCTATATTTCTTTCGAGCAAGAGATAACTGAAAAAAGACATCTTTTGGAGACAAAAGAAGGCTTACCAGCCAGTCCAGGCTTCAGTCCACATTTTTGGCTTGTAGGCCTTGTTAGGCGAAAAGTAGTCACAATAGAAACCATTACAGGTGTTAATCTGTTGGAAGTAAAAAAAATGTTACGAATCCTCAGAATGAATTGAAAAAAAAACGCATCCCCTACAGCAGCACGTAAGTTCAAATGTGTGCAACACTAAATGATGAAAGGAACATGGCCATCCAGTCCAACACAAATAAAATATATACACAAGAAACAGCAAAGCTGAGCCATGTGCAATGACAAATAATATATCATTTAAACTAAGACTAAGACAATTAGGCAACACACTGTTTACTAGCAATTAAACAAGAAAATAATGTATGCATTCCAACAAATAGGACTCGGAAAGAGCAAAACTGAGCCATGTGTAACGAGAAATGGTATATAATTTAAACTATGACTTTAACATGTAGACGACACACCATTCAATAGCAATTATACTAAAGAAGACCAAACATGTCATGATGGCCATCAAGATTGGATATAGAACATGACAAGATAAATATGCATAGTATACTTACAATAGGATCAGGTGCATCATCTTGCTTGCACATGATCCATGGGACATCAGTGCCTAGATCCACAGCCATTTTAGCTGCCCAATCACTGTAAGCTTTAGCAGGTGCACCGAGTTCGTATTCCACAGGCCCATATTCATTTTCAATCTGTCAAAAGAAGAGATTATAACTACACATAAAATAGATGGCTAATATCCATATCTTAAACCAAGAGAACTTAGAACTGAGTGCCAGATCTACAAACATAGAACCAAGTGCCAGATCTACCTGAGATAGAATAATAGGACCTCCTTGAGACTCAAACAGCCTTTCTGCTTTCATCATATCCACAATCAATTTTGTAAATCTTTGCATTTGAGCCTTCATCATAGCAATACAGTAAGTATATTGGTTACTCAAAAATAAATTCCAGAACAGAAAAGAATATTAATGAATCCAGTTAAACTTTGAATGGACAACCGGAATCGGCTTACCTTGAAAGGTCCATTGTCTGTTCTGAAATTGATACCGGGAATGTACTTCAACCAAACAGGAAAACCCCTGAAAAATTAAATAAAACTCATTGCTTGAACCATACACTTCGCTGTGAAACCCTAACTATTTTTGGAAAATATAATATTTTAGCATTACCCAAAGTTCCACTCAGCACAGACATAAGGACCAATCCTCAGATGAACATAGAGGCCTGCTTGCTTCGCCAGCTTGATAAATTTGACCAAATCATAGTTGCCTTCGAAATAATACTGAAGTAACAGAAAAATGGAAAGTAAATTTCAGAAATATTTTATGCCACCTGCTCCATAAACCAAGGTATAATCTTTTATTTTTTTTGGGAAAAAATATGTTGCTCTTTAATTACTTTTCCAGGAGCAGGCTCATGGCCATTCCAGAAAACATATGTCTGAATAACATCTAGCCCTCCTTCTTTAGCTTTCTCTATAAGATCTGGCCACATCTGTAACACAAAGGACCGAAGTTTAGGTACATTTTCTTAAGAACAAAACACCATACTACATTAACAGAAGAAATGCATCAAAATGCTATAAAAACTATGACTTTTGGTGAAATAAAAGAGACCAAAGAAAATGAAGTTAAGAAGTTCACCTCAGGTGAGCTTCTTGGGTAGTGAATGGATCCAGAAATAAGGATCCGTCTTTGGCCATTAATGATGATAGCTCTGTTGTCATATGAAACAGAAGAAGAAACTGAACAAACCCAGGAAGCTAATAGAACAACCAACAAAGCATTCCACATTACAGGAAGCTTGGAGTTTGAACCCATGGCCATGGCAAAAAAAATAAGAACAAATGACAATTTGCTTACACAAAGCAATGCCCTTTTTTTGCCTAAAGGGAAAATATTGAAGATCAAATAGAAGGAAAAAAAAGAGAGGAAGAGGGACAAAAGGCAGAAGAAAACAAGTAGCTGCTAGCTGGTTAAGTGTTTGAGTGTCCAATTAAAAATAATTTTTTCCTTTCCCTTTAATGAGAGACAGTAAAGAGGAAAATAGAGCGAAAGCCGTATAATATAGTTGGTTGTTTGAGCTTTATTCTTTTCTTTTTTTGCAAAGAGAGAGCTTGCAGCTTCATTTTTATTATACAATGATGTCTAAAGCCATTGGAGGCTTTGAATGTGAAATGTCTGACCCCTTTAGAAGCCTTTTTACCCCCACTCTTCCGCCATGTTCTTTCGCTTTAACTCGAACAAAATAAAGGTATGTTATCAAAATAATGGTAATAGTAAAAGTAAATACGATCAACATAAAAAATATTACAATCCTAATTTAAATCTACTTTAATCCTTGAAGCCATTTCCTTCTTTGTTTCTTCGAAAATTATGGCTGTAAGTTTCCTTAACCAAAATTATTGTTGTCAGTTAAAAGAGATGATTCAGTCTGGGTTGATTACAGTTGTTTTGGATCAAATTTCAATTATGATGTCAATCTAAATTTAAACTGGATATAGATTTTTTTTGGACAAGAACTGAATACTGAATATATAATTTTAACTTAAAAAGTCGAATTAATTATATCGTTAGAATTGTTAGTAGGTTTCTCTCTTGATAAATAGTAAGACATAATTATTATTATTATAAGTATATTGTTATATTAGTTATTATTTGAATATTGGACATAAAATTAATGAATACATATATAAATTATTTTATACTCTTCTTTAATGATTCTTGAATATTATCTTTAAAATATTTTTATTCATATGTGTAGGACTGTAAATGAGACGAGATAGATCGTGAGTTATTCAGGATCGACTCAATCAAAGCTCGATAAACAATCGACTCGAATGTATTCGACTCGAGTTCTTAACGAGTCAAAATGAGCTACTTAATACTTCACTCGAAAAGCTCGTGAGCAGCTCGAAAATAAAATATATTAAGATTTTTTTTAAATAAATTATTAATAATATTAAATTTATGTGTTGATTTTTTTCAAGAAAATACAGTATACAATTTTCATGTATTTAAGGTCCATGTTTGAGTTTGAGGCATTAATCAAGTCAAGTTTAAGATTTTTTTTTCATTTTGAGCCTTTTTTAGCTTCAGTTCATGATTTCGATTTCGAATCGAACTTGAAAATTTTAGGCTCTCGAGTTTTTGAGTCGAGTCGAGTTAAACTCCATTTCAGAGTCTTCGAGTCGAGCTCGACTCGGCTGGTTACAACCCTACATATGTGATTAAATCTAATGATGTATTAAAATTTCAATTTGTTTTTAAAATTTAAAAGTATGATAATTGAACTTAAGTACGGTATCCGAAAAATAATCATTAAATATTATAAAGTCGTTGGATGTTATTATTAAGAGAAAATAACATCAGTGACCAAAAATGCCTTATAATATACGATTTTAACCAATTTTTTTTGGATTTGCCAAAATGACCAACTAAATCGCAATGCGACCGATAATTCGCAACGCGATCTCCGGTATCGCAAATCAGTTTCCAGATTCGCAACGCGATTCTGACTATCGCATTGCGATTTTCCAAATTCGCGTTGCGATTTTCCTAAATCGCAATGCGAATACGTAAATCGCAATGCGAATACGTAAATCGCAATGCGAATCTGACTATCGCAATGCGATTTACATAGCGCCATTCGTATCCAACGCGTATTTTTTTTCAAATTCCAAACACGAATATATTAATATATCGGAACACTGAACCGTCCACAATATATCACGTAATCGCAACTCATAACCTAAAACCCTAAATCACAACTCAGTCTCATCTCCATCTCTCACTCTCTAAGGTGACATCCGTCCCCATCTCCGACGAAATCAGTCCCCATCTCCGACGATATCAGTCTCCATCTCCGACGAAATCATTCACGGTCAGAAATGGAAAATCAACCAAATCAACCACCGATGGTTAGTTTTTTTAATTATTTTTATTTTGAAATTTTTGCATTATTATTAGGTTTTTCATATTGAAATTGATGATAAGTTTACTGGTATTTTCAATAATAGATTAACCATTTCACTTAGATTGCTTATTAAATTCATTCGATTGCTGCCAATACTGCTAAACTGTTTAGTCTTTAACCCTGTGAAGTTAGTATTTGTCTTTGTTTTGTCTTTTGGTTGAAGTAATGCAATCCATTCAAGTTTCTTTCAATTTTAGTATTTGAAACCGAGAATGACTATCGCAATGCGATTCTGTCGTTGCGATTTTCATTTTACGTTGCAATTCTTGCGTTGCGATAGTCATTTTCGTGTTGCGATTTTCATTTCGCGTTGCGATAGTCAAATTCGCGTTGCGATAGTCATTTTCATGTTGCGATAGTCATTTCCGTGTTGCGATTTTCATTTTCCTGTTGCGATTTTAAGTTTCAGAAACTATTCTTCTTCTGCAAATTGAAACTTGAATGAATTGCATTACTTCAACCAAAAAACAAAGACAAATACTAAATTCATAGTGTTGCAAATTTAAGTTTGAAGAATAAACTACTACTCTTTATGTTTATTGTTCTTGTTATATCTTCACAGTGTAGTTTTTGGTATATCTAACTTGGTATTTTATTGTTTTTGCAGAACTTTTATTCGACTCAATTGACCTTAAGAAATAAAGTAAGCCTGGCCAAAACAATTGTGTCGAAGCTTTCACCTGCACAAAGAAAAATATTTGAGGATACTTGCTTCGGGCCATGGCTGAAAGTACAACATTCGGGTGGAGATGCTATGTTGACCCATCTGTTTCTTCAAACCATGACTAGCGATCTACCAGAGACTATACAACGTCATGATGAAGAGATATGGTTTGATTTTCCACCGGCGTATACGTGTTTTAGGTGGGAGGAGTTTTGCTTAATCACCGGTCTACGATTCGGACACGATGATGTAGATCGGTACACTAGACATATTACCCGCCTATCATGGTTTTCTCAGGTTTTTCCTGAGCTGTCGAATTTACACGTGGAAGACTTGACGAGATTATTGAATAAGAAAGATGGTTTTACTCGGATGGATGACGTCGATGTTGTCCGAGTATACCTTCTAATACTTTTGCAAGCCGACTTTTTAGGCAGAGAGGCCCGACAACCTATTCCTAATGATCTAATTAAATTGGTAGAGGACCTAAATGCATGGAACCTGTTTCTGTGAGGTTCGTATCTATGGAAAGCTATATGGAATAAGTTGTCGTCTACCTTTGATGATCGGAAAAGTTTGCGTGGCGATGGTTCCAAATACACTTTGTCAGGCTTTATTTGGGCCTTTAAGGTAATAATTTTTATATAATGTTTCCAAAATTATAATTAATTCTTTAACAATTACTAATGTTTGTTATTATATTGTTTGTAGATTTGGATATTTGAGGCATTTCCCGCCATGCAGACATATGCATTAAAAACTTCTAATGATATTCCTAGGGCTATTTCCTGGAAGAGGAAACAGTCTTTGCAGCAATGGGAAGATTTACTACCGTATACTACAATAAATAATGTAAGTTAATACAAATACTACCATATGTTTATAAACAAGTTATTACTAGTACAAGTTTAACTTTTTTTGAGCTTTTATATTGTTAGGAGGCCAACACTCAATTACAGAGGCTGACACCCACGGAAGCTGAGCTTGCCACTGATTGGTGGCAAGCTAGTAAGCATTTTTTTGATGGCACGGATGATGAGCAGTCACCACTTCGAGAGCCATCACCTCACCCAGAGCCATCACCTGATCGACCCGAATATACACCTCCACAACGAGAGTAATCACCTATTCTGTCACATCATCGAGCCTCTTCTCAACCATCACCTCATGATAGGCGACCGACAAAGATGCCACCACGTTTATCTCCCTGTTCTCCACCTCCACCTCCACCTCCACGGGATGAGTTAGGGGAGTTACGTAAGTCAATGCCTTGCGTGAGGAGGTCGGTACTTTACGCGATGACAATGGTGCATGGCGTGTTGAGGTGTCTACTTTACGTGGTGAGGTAGCAGCTCTACGTGAGATTGTAGCATCGTTGCAGAACGAGGTTCATACTCTACGTAACGAGGTAAGTTTAATATTTTTCATATTTAACTTGATGATAAATTTACTCGTAACTTCACTTAGATTGCTTAGTAAATTCATTCGGTTGCTGCCAATACTGTTTAACTGTTTATTCTTTAACCCTGTGAAGTTAGTATTTGTTTTTTGTTATCTTTTGGTTGAAGTAATGCAATCCATTCAAGTTTCAATTTGCAGAAGAAGAATAGTTTACTATCGCAATGCGAAAATGACTATCGCAACGCGAAAATGACTATCGCAACGAGAAAATCGCAACAACAAAATCGTAACGCGAAAATGACTATTGCAATGCGAAAATGACTATCGCAACGAAAGAATCGCAATGCGAAATGAAAATCGCATTACGATTCTCTCGTTGCGATAGTCATTTTCACGTTGCGATAGTCATTTTCGCGTTGCGATAGTCATTTTCGCGCATTGCGATTCTCTTGTTGCGATAGTCATTTTCGCATTGCGATAGTCATTTCTGCGTTGCGATAGTCATTTCCGCGTTGCGATAGTCATTTTCGCGTTGCGATAGTCATTTCCGTGTTGCGATAGTCATTTTCGCGTTGCGATTTTAAGTTTCAGATTCTATTCTTCTTCTGCAAATTGAAAATTGAATGAATTGCATTACTTCAACCAAAAGACAAATACTAACTTCACAGTGTTGAAAATTTAAGTTTCAAGAATAAACTACTACTCTTTATGTTGTCATTAAACCTGCACTAAACCTATATGTTATCCTTTTAAATGTTTATATAAGTGCTTACTTCTGGAATGTTATCTGATGCATTTTGTGAACAATGATATAATAATGACTTGGGAGAATACCGTGCAAGTTTGAAATATATTTGTCTTTGTTTTCACTGTTTAATATCATGTCTGTTTATTTACTGATTTATGTATTAATTTATTTTTAGCGGCTCGCTAAGGTGGATGCTCTACGTCGGG